TCCTCTCTCTTTTGTTTCTTGGTTAGCCTGGCTAGGGGTCCATCTATCTTTTTTATTCTTTTAAAGAACCAGCTTTTGGTTTTGTTGATCTTATGTATTGTTTCGTTGGTCTCTATATCGTTTATCTGTGCTCTGATTTTTGTTATTTCCTTCCTTCTGCTTACACTGGGCTTTTCTTGTTGCTCTTTTTCTAACTCTTTGAGTTGTAGAGTTAAATAATTTGTTACCCTTTTTTCTAGTTTTTTGCAATACGCTTGTAGGGATATGAACTTCCCTCTCAAAACTGCTTTTGCTGTGTCCCATAGATTTTGAATAGTTGTGTTTTCATTATCATTTGTTTCCAGGATGTTTTTAATCTTTTCCTTGATTTCTCTGGTAATAGCATGCTGTTTAGTTTAATAGCATGCTGTTTAGTCTCCATGTGTTTGATTTCTTTGGATTTTTTTTATTGTAGTTAATTTCTAGTTTTGTGCCACTATGATCTGAGAAGATGCTTGATATGATTTCTATCTTCTTGAATTTGAAGACACTTTGCCTATGTCCCAAAATGTGGTCTATCTTTGAGAATGTCCCATGTGCGCTTGAGAAGTATGTATATTCTGTGGCTTTTGGGTGGAATGTTCTGAAGATGTCGATTAATTCCATCTGGTCTAGCAAGTCATTTAGGATTGATATTTCTTTGCTGATTTTTTGTTTAGATGACTTGTCAAAGGGTGACAGTGGGGTATTAAGATCTCCTACTATGATTGTATTGCTATTAATCTCTCCCTTAATGTCCTCCAGCAGTTTTTTTACATATTGGGGAGCTCCCGTATTGTGTGCATATATATTTACCAGGGTTATTTCTTCTTGTTGGATTGCTCCCTTTTGTATTATGTCCTTCACTCTGAGATCTAATTTGTCAGATATAAGTATTGCTACCCCAGCTTTTTTTTCATTTCCATTCTCCTGGAAAACCTTTTTCCATCCCTTCACCCTCAGTCTGTGTGCATCTTTTTTTCTGAGGTGGGTTTCTTGTAGACAACAGATATATGGGTCTTGTGTTCTTATCCAATCCGTTACCCTATGTATTTTGATTGGAGCATTTAGTCCATTTACATTTAAAGTTATCATTGATAGATACTTATTTGATGCCATTTTTATTCTATACCCCTGTGTTCCTTCTTTGCTTTCTATTTCTTTAATTTTACAGTAGACCCTTTAGCATTTATTGCATTGCTGGTTTGTTGGAGATAAATTTCCTTAGTCTGTTTTTGTCTGTGAAGCTTCTGATTTCCCCTTCAATTTTGATTGATAGCCTTGCTGGGTACAGTATTCTTGGATTCAGACCCTTCCTTTGCATGACTTTGTATATTTCATCCCATTCCCTTCTGGCCTGATAAGTTTCTGTGGAGAAATCAGTTGCTATTCTAATGGGGGTTCCTTTATATGTAACTTTCTGTCTCTCTCTGGCTGCTTTTAAAATTCTTTTTTTGTCATTGGTGTTTGCCAGCTTAATTATAATGTGTCTAGGGGTCGGTTTTCTGGGGTTCATTTTGCTTGGGAATCTGTGAGCATCTTGGATTTGTGTGGGTTTTTTCTTCACTATCTCAGAAAAGTTTTCTGTCATTATTTCTTGAAATACGTTTTCCATGTCTTCCGCAATTCCCTTTCCTTCTGGAACCCCTATTACTCTAATATTGTTTTGTTTTGTATTGTCCCAAAGTTCCCTTAGATTTTCCTCCTGTTTTTTAATTTTCTTTTCCAGAAGCTGTACTAATTGGGTATTTTTTCCATCTTGTCTTCTAGCTCGCTGATGCAGTCCTCTGATTCTTCTAATCTACTCTTGATGCTTTCTATTGAGTTCTTTACAATAGCGATGTCATTTTTCATTTCTTCTTGGTTCTTCTTCATTTCCTCTTGGTTCTTACTCATATTGTCAAATTTGTCTTCCATTCTTTTTAGCCATCTTATGATCATTACTCTGAATTCTTGCTCTGGTAGGTTGCTTCCCTCTATCTCGTTTACTTCCTTTTCTGGTGAAGCCTGCTTTTCTTTCATATGCGGGTTGTTTTTTGGTCTCCCTATGATCTGGGATGTCTGGTTGTGTAGTTCTCTCTCTCCTGCTTTGATTTAAAGGCACAAAATACAACACAACCAGGTACAACACACAAGGGACTGAATGGGTATGTGTTTGCAATATTAATAACCACCAATAAGGGTGACTAGAACCCCGCTAGCAAAAACATACAATCAAACAAAAAGCATAGGCAAATAATCTTATAAAAAAAGCATACAACTTCAGTATAGTTAACATTCAACATACAACTTCAAAGAGTTAGAGAGAAAGACTTTTGTTTTGTTTTGTTTTGTTTTTAGGACAACTGCGAAGGAGGTGTGAATGGGCTCGGACAAGTAGTTGGAAATTAGATATATACAAGTAGGGTGAAATTTTAGGAGGGGGTAGACAGAAGGAATGGGGAAAATCTAGAGCAGGAAAGGGTTAAGATAAATGGGGTACCAAAGGAAAAGATCTGAAAGAGGGTGAAGGCGTAAAGGAAAGGTTGAGATAGAATAAAGCGTTGGAGAAGGAACGATAGATAAAGACTGTAGAACAGTAATCCTGAAATAAAAAAATATATATGTATAATCAAATGAAATAAAAATAATAAAAATAAACAAAAGAAAATAAGATGAAAAAGGTAACATGGTAGTAGTAATAATGTTGATTATGTATACAATGTAATAATTATAAAGATAAAATCAAGTGAGGAAAAAAAAATAGTTTCTTGAGTAAACATTGCAAATAATGAAAACAAAAATAAAAACCAAAAATTTTAAAATTAAAAAAAATATAAAATAAAATTTAAAAAATTTAAATAAAATTTGCAGGAATGAAGGTCATTTGCTTCCTCTATTGTTATGATCCAGTCCTGATTTTTAGGCAGGTTTTGCTTTGTTTTTATTCCACTAGAGTCAATTTGTGAATTAGCCTCTGGGGGCAGTGTTTCTAGGTTGACTTCCCAGACTCTGGAGCCTCTCCAGCTTTTTTTTTTTTTTGTACTCTCTGAAGCAGGAACTATGGAGGGGGGAGGGGGCAGGTCCGAGCAACTGCAATCTCCCGCAACTCTCCGATACCCCTCCGTGCCAGATCCAAATGTGTTGCTCTTTAGATATCTCCTCTGTTAGGAGCCCCGTCCACTTTCATGGGTGACACCCGCCCAACAGTGGGGGCTTCTACTTGTAATCACTGCCCTTGTCCTCCAGCTTCTGCGCGCTCTGTGCGCGCAGGCTTTTTTTTCCCCTGGAGTGCTCTCCACCCTCTCCCCGCGATATCTGACCTTTTTGACAAGCAGTGGGGCACTCCTGTGAGGCCAGGTGTTCGCACCGCCTGGGATCCGCGTTCTGGGGGTCACAGTTGCTTGTTGGTCGCTGCTGCTGTTGATATTCAGGCCTCTGACACGATCCTATCTTCCTCTCAAGATAGTGAGGTTTCCCTATCCAAGCCGGTAGGTAGCTCCAGGCAGGGACGTAACCCGCGTGGGTGCTTCCCTTAGGCGATGTGGTTCCATTTTCAAGAGGTAGAAATCTCATTAAAAGTGAGTCTCTTGATGAAATAGCTTCTGCGCCAAGTTGGGGCCGGTGGGTCCTGTTGGCGGTGCCTGGCCAGCAGAGAAGCCTTACAAATCCCCGCATCCCCCAGAAATTTCCCCTTGACCCCAAACACCTGTCCTCCCAGCCAAGGTGATCACAAAAGCCCAGTCAAGTGGATTCTGAACTCCTCTCTGTTTCTTGGTAAGTCTGGCTAGGAATTCACCAATCTGGTTTATCTTTCCCAAGAACCAATTTTGGTTTTATTGGTTTTTTTATAATTTTTTCCTCTATGTCATTAATTTCCACTTCAATCTGTATTATTTCCTTCCTTCTACTTACTCAGACCTTCTTTGTTTTTCTTCTTCTACTTCTTTAAGTTGTAGGGTTAGATAGTTTATTAGACGTTTTTTCTTGTTTTTTGAGGTAGGCCTATAATGCTATGAAGTTCTCTCTCAGGACTACTTTCATTGTGTCACATAGACTCTGGAGTGTGATTGCTGGGTAGTATGGTAAGAGTATATTTAAATTTGTAAGAAACTGCCAACTTGTTATTCCACATCCCCACTAGCATTTGGTATTGTCAGTGCTTCAGTGTTAAATCATTCTGTTAGGTGTGCAATGATATCTCATTGTTGATCTAATTTGCATTTCCCTGATGACATTGATATGGAACATCTTTTCATATACTTATTTGCCATCTGTATATATTCCTTAATGAGGTAAAAATCCCTATTAACTTCTTGGCATATGATTTTTAGATATGTTTACACACACCCATTACATAAGTATATCTAAATTACATTTGTTTGACCTCCTTTTGTTTTAGCAATCATAAACAAACATTCTTGTATATAAAGACTAACATTATAACTATCACTTGCACAAGACAGAGCCTTGTATATTCTTTTTTACCAAAACCAGAGAAAAATCTCAGAATCCTTCCCAACACAGGTATCTTAGTCTACAGTACTAATTGGTCAGATATGAATAATAGACGATGTTTTCATCTCTAACCGTGAGCCTGAAAGAAGTGGATCAGCGGCTCTCATTATCAAGCAAAGCAAGAAGGAAGACAAATCACGAGGTATTATTTCAAAGCAGCATCTGACACAGCAGATCCTGACCTAGGCACTTGTGGTATTCTCATCCTGTTCCCGCAACAAAACTGACATATCACTAATGAGAGGTTTTGCTTCTAGGCTGATGATCAGTTCACTTTAATTCAGTGGTGTGGCGGTTGCCTGTTCATGAATTATTCCCTTGAGTCTAACTAAAATGGGTCTAGCCTATATTCTTCCCCTTCAAACAACAGGTCTTTCCAGATGTCAAAAACATGCCTATAAAATGGACAACAACTAAGTTGAGAAAAAGAACTGGAAATTAAGAGAACATGCATTGATTTTTCTCCTTCTCTCTCTCTGTGCCAGAATCCGATGTTGCTGACTTTGATGGCAGGAGCTCCCTGCTGTACAGGTTCAATCAGAAGCTGCTGAGCACCCTCAAAGACGTGATCTCCCTGAAGTTCAAGAGCATCCAGGGCGATGGGGTCCTGTTCCATGGAGAAGGTCAGCGTGGAGACTATATCACCCTGGAGCTCCAGAAAGGGAGGCTCGCCCTGCACCTCAACTTGGGTAAGGTCAGGCTTTCCCCCATGTAGGTCAGCCTGTGGGAAATGCCTCTTGGCAGCAGAGCATAGTCCTTGTCCTCCTATCATAGATTGTATGGAAGTGCTTGGAGCACAATTCATGTTTGAGAAGAAAAATACCACATTTAGAAATCGTTAAGCCATGAAAAGCATTATTTAAATTAGATAATATTTGTACGTAAGAAGGGATACAAGCTAAGTGCCATGGCTTATATTGCTTGATTACTTATTTATTTACTAGTGGCCTGGTGCACAGATTCATGAACATTGAAGGGAATTAATTAAAAACATGATATAACAACAACAAAGACATAATATAAAAACAACAAAAACATAATATAAAAACAACATTGATAAAAACAATGGCTGATAAATCGATTAAACTTATTCTAATATCTCCTTGTATACCACATTAGGAAAAACACTTTCAGAGTACAATTTCCCTATGATGAAGTGTTCACAACTTTAACTTTGACATTGCATGCTCTTTGGACTCCAGAGAAAGCAACATATAACTGATGATGTCCAAAAATGGGTTCAGGTAGGAATATTCCTACTCTGTCTAGATTGGTATCCCACATGTAGGAGTCAACATTTATTTTTAAATTGCCAGTGCATGTCATATGTACCAGCTGGTAGGTTGGTCAGATGGTCAGACGGATGGACGATTGGTCACTTAGCCTTTTATATAGTATATAGATTACCTATCTATCTATTTATCTGTTAAACAATTTTTAATATAATAGACAAATTTAAACACACACACACACACACACACACACACGTGCATACATAATGTAATGAGGCATTTTCACAATCCATTCTATTTAGTACATTTATGAAAGTTAAGTTCCAGGAGAAAAAAAGAAAAGAACATTTTAATTTCTTAGTGTTTGTTACAAGAGTAAATGTGCCATGCGTATGAGAAAAATCTAAGTTTCTGGGCATTCCTGGATCTTATTAAAGGAAGCACTACTCTCTTTAGGTGTCCTGGCTGTGCTGGGGGAGCTTTAGACTTGCCAAATGCAGGCTACGTGAGTACAGAATGCCCTCTTGTCTTCTGCACATATGGGTCACAGGCTCCTTACTGTGGGTTGGCATCTATAATGGCCTTCCTCACCTCAGGCAGATCTTCATTCCATTGCAATCAACTTCCCATCCCCACAAAAAAGAAAGGGCTCACCTTTCTTTATGTGATCAAAGGTACTTTTGAAAGAATGGTGAGCCAATTGCACATGGCAGGGAGCAGGGTTCCAAAAGATGCTAAAAAAAAAAATCATATAAGAGTGAAGAAAAAAGAAGTGACCATTTTCCTGTCCCCCATTTGATAAACATTTGTATTAAGGAATGGGATGGATATTATGCCCATGAAAGTGAATTATCAATCAGTATTTACTGTCAGAGAGTAAGAGAAATTCATAGCAGAATTGCATATGTAAGTTCAAGTTGCATAAAAAACTGGGGAAATCATAGATAAATGAATTTTAGCAATTAGAAGGAAAGACATAAGAATGAAGATTAATTCAAACTCACCCAAAAGCCAAACCATGTATATCTTTATTAGGGGAATTTGTGAGTGTCTTCATAACCTCCATTGTGAATATCAGCAGAGGTAACAAGAATAAACTGTGAAATCCTAAATTATTTAACGCATAAAATTGACACTAATTGTTTTAGATTAACTGTACTGGAAAGGCATCTTTAAAAGTGGAGTTTTACCAAGAATAATGCATAATAGAAATTGCTAATAACATAATTGTTCATATTTTACCAATTTATCAATGACTACCTGAAGGATGGACATACAAATATTCAGCAGAAATGTGTTCATTCATTAACTGACCATCAAATTCCAGGAAAGAAGTATGGATAAATGAAATGGAGCACCTCCCCATTTATAGGAGGCTTAAAGAGCATTGTGTGTTGTGGGTGAAGTTACCTTTACTTGCCAGTATATCTAGTCTTCTGTTAGTGATATTAAATCTGTCAGTTAAAGCTATTTAGATTTACAATTTCTATATGCCATTCACCCTCTACAGCTTTGTTTCCTCCATGCATGTTGATGGAAAGAGCCAAAGTGCCGGTGTGGTCATGCAACAGATTTCAATGTAATTGCAGGCATATACTGGCTATGTATTATGGGGAAAGTTGCATAATTTACAAGTCTTTTTTAGTCATTTCTGATGTGGGCTAATAATAACTATCTTACAGAACATGGAAATAAAAACTCCAAATTACTATAAATGAGTAATTTATGACAGTAAATGAACATGAACAAGTATCAAAAACAGAAGCTCTTAATATTACTAATTTATTCAACACACATTTTAATGTCCCATACCCTGTACCACACCGTCTTTCTGAAAAGAGATATATATTAAGATAAACAGGACCTGCTCCTTGTGATAATACATAGACACAAATGAAGCCTTTTCCCCCTCCAAATTTCATCTCTTCTATATTTCTAACTATGGTGGTGGCAAAGTAAAACCTCATTTAGTAAATGATTCAATAGTAAGAATGACTTCTTCTGTATTCTTTATAGTTTTGGAATGCCTTCATATTTTTACCTGCTCATGGATTTGCCCATTTCCATTGGTTTCCATTGCTTCCTGTATTCATCTGTTTATGCAATTACCTGGGATAATTTTTTTTAGTAGCTCCTTCTTCTAGAGAGACACAGCTGTATGTCAATACTGTATCTGTCCACAGCTCATTTTTAGCCAGCAGATCCCTGAAAGCATCAACGTATGGGGAATTGATTTGAATTGTCCATAATAAGAACTCTATAATGCAGGCTTCACGAGGGACAAGATAACTTTTTGTTTATTGCTGAAACTGAAGAACCCAGGAGGGCACCTACCTGAAGTAGGCTCTTGAGGCAAATGAAAAAAAGGGCTTTCCATTTCAAACTTCAGCGCCTGACAAAATACACACCATTCCCTTTTGACTGGCTCATTACCAAGTCTATGCTCCTAAGTGCCTCATGAGCCATTCTCTTCACTACAACAGTGCCTGGTATTTACAGAATAGTCACAATGTGCTAGAATCTCATCCAAACCTCACAGCAGTCTTATTAGGTGAGTAAACATTAACTTCAATATACTCATGTGGAATTTGCACAGCAAGCTATTAGGTGTAACCACTATTAATACCTAGTTATGTCTAAACATTTTTTTATTTTTATTTTAAAAATAGAGGTCTGCTGCATGAAATTCATGCACTTGCGGAGGGGGGGGGGGCATCCCTCAACCTGGCCTGCACTCTCTTGCAGTCAGGGAGCCTCTCAGGGGATGTACAACTGAGAGGCTCCCACCACCTCTGCTGTGCTAGCCAGCCCATGAGCCTGGCTCAGAGCTTCAGCACTCCCCCTGTTGGAGCACATTGAGCACCAGAGGGCAGTACCTGCAGTGAGAGTCTGCCCCTGGGTGGTTAGTGCTTATCATAGCAACTAGTCATTCTGCTGCTTGGTCTATTTGCATATTAGCCTTTTACTATATAGGATATAATTTTATTTATTTCAGAGAGAAAAGGAGAGGTAGAGAGAGAGAGATCAATGATGAGAGAGAATAATTGGTTGGCTGCCTCCTGCATGTCCCCTATTGGGGATCAAGCCTGCAACCAGGGCATGTAGCCTGAGCAGGAATCTCACCGCCTGGTTCATAGGTTGACACTCAACAACTGAGCCGCACAGCCAGGCATTATTATTTTAAGATTATAAAATATGCCAGTGAAGCATCTAATAAGGAGTTGATATGCAAAATGTATAAGGGACTTACATAACTCAAAACCAAAAATCAAACAATCCAATTAAAAAATGGGCAGAGGACCTGAGGAGACACTTTTTCAAAGAGGATACACAGGAGACCAATAGATTTGATGAATTGATGCTTAACATCACTAACTGTCAGAGAAATGCAAATTAAAACCACAAGGAGATATTTCACACCAGTGAGAATGGCTACCATCAATAAATGTACAATCAACAGATGGAGCAAAAGGAACCCTCCTGCACTGTTGGTGGGAATGCAGATTGGAGCACACTGTGGAAAACAGTGTGAAGGGTCCTCAAAAAATTAAAATGGAACTCTGCCTATGACCCAGCACCCCCACTTCCGGAAACACTAGTATATCCAAGAAAATCCAAAACACTAATTCAAAATATATTCACCCCTATGTTCATTGCAGCATTATTTACAAAAGTCAATATATGGAAAGAACCCAAGTGCCCATCAATAGACAAGTGTGTAAAAATGCTCTGATATATACAAAAAGTTATGACCATAAAAAAGAATGAAATCTTACCATTTGCTAACATGGATGGGCCTAGAAGTTATTATGATTAGTGAAATAAGTTAGTTAGAAAAAGACAAGTGCTACATGATATCACTTATGTGCAGAATCTAAAGAACAAAATTTTAAAAAGAAATGATGCTGGAACAGACTTGTGAACACAGAAAAGACAGTTGTTTGCCAAAGGAGAGAGAGTTGGGGAAACCAAGTAAAAAAAGTTTAAGGGATTAAGAAATAGAATTTGGTAGTTTCAAAATAATCTGGGGCTGTGTCAGCAAACTCATTAGTCAACAAAGCCAAATATCAACAGTACAATGATTGAAATTTCTTTTGAGAGCCGAAAACCAACTTCTGTGCATGGGCCATGAAGGTTCAATTGCACTGAGTGCCCGCACATGGTATTTTGTGGAAGAGCCACACTCAAGGGGCCAAAGAGCCACGTGTGGCTCAAGAGCTGCAGTTTGCTGACCACAGGCGATATAAATTATACTATAGGGAAGATAGTCAATAGTATTGTATTAACTACTGTATTTTCAGGCGTATAAGACGACCCCCTAATTTTACAGTTAAAACATAGGTTTAGGCCTATATTCACTGTATAAGACTGCCCTCCCTACCCCACTTCAAAGAAAAGACTTACTTTGCCGTCAAGATCTTCAGGTAATTTTTGTGCAATTTTAGTCTTTTGCCCCC